CCCTGCCCTCTGGGCCCTACCTCCCTACCCTGCCCTCTGGGCCCTGCCTCCCTGCCCTGCCTTCTGGGCCCTGCCTGCTCAGCTCAGAAGGAAGCGCCATCCTTAACGTCTCCACCTGAGTCACACACCACAAATGGGTAAGAAACTATTTTCCAGAACGGAGCCAGTTTTGCTTTAAATCTAGTGCTCACTTTTCATCACTTCAAGCCCAAACCCACTGCTGTGGAGTCAGTGCCAACTTAGGTGACCTCATGTGCAGAGGAGAACTGCTCTGGGTTTTCTTGGCTGTGACCTTTACGGAAGCAGATCGCCAGGCCTTTCTTCCGTGGACTGGCTGGCTGGGTTTAGGGAGGTAGAAATGAGAAATGTGGATCCAAACACACGAAGCATTTTCCTCTGCCTCATCACTGTTGACAACCATACACCTTAAATCAACTCTTACACATAAATTTGATAGCATATTATAACCTTGATTCCGCAGAGTCCCAGATCCACAAAGCAACAGAAAATCTGCTCTAACCACTGAGGAATGTGTCTGTGTTTCCAGGTGAAAACCCACAGGGGTGCCTCCCAGTGAGATACAACCTTGCAGCTGATGCGGCCTGCTCAGCGAGTGCCCTCACAGGTCAATGGGACCCGCCGCAAGCTCCCTCCATAGTGACCGGGCACCCCAGGGCCGGTGGCTCTCACACGACAAAGCGGGGCTCGTCACCCCGACTCTCCAGGGTCACAGAGGGTCCCACAGGGCTGCTGGCAGGAGGAGGAGTCATGAGCATGGCAGACCAACATGGTGGTGTCACACAGCCGGGGAGAGCAGGCGGCCACCACGAGAGCCTTGGTGGTGCCGCTCGGAGGGCAGGGGGCACCCGGAGATTACGGATGGACTGACTTCTCCGCGGCCCGACTCACTACGGCGGAGCAGTGTGTTTCTCGGGGCAAACACGTGCCGCGAGTACTTTAAACCGAAGGGAAGCGGAAGCGCGCGATTTGGGTCCCGGATACCAGGTCGGGGGCACGCAGGACGCAAGAGGCCGTAAGGCCGCTGTGAGCCACTTGCGGCCTCAGCACGGGTGTTCGTTATATAAACAGAGTGAATTTTAGAAATTAGAATTGAATGGAAGACGCTTGTGTATGGATCAGAGCCCCTGCATGGCGCGAAGGGTAAATGCGCTCGGCTGCTAACTGAAATGTGAGAGGTTCGAGTCCACCCAGAGGTGCCTCAGAACAAAAGCCTGGCGGTCTACCTGTGAAAAATCACCCATTGAAAATCCTGCGGAGCTCAGTTCGACTCTGCCACATGTGGGGTCTCCGAGAGTCGGGGCTGACTCCACAGAAGCTGGTTTGTTTGTTTTTTGGGGCGTGGACCTCAGATGAGTGTGAGCTGTGAAGCCGGGACTGTGCGTCTCCCACCTACATGCTCCAGGGTCCAGGATAGAAAGCAGGGGTGAAGAAACATATCACGGGCAGTAATGGTGGGTCCTTGCTCACGCCGCTCTTGGTGGCAGCTCTCCCCACTCAGCCAGGCTGCACAGCGCAGAGGGCGGGGTGCAGACCGCCACGGGCGCGTCCCCGAGCCCTCCATTCCCACGCCTGCTTCACAGCCCTCTGGCCGGTGAACCGCAGGCCGGCTGCTCTCACTCCTCAGCTGTGAGCCCGTCAGCACAGCAAAGCTGGAGTCTCCCTTTAGTTATTAACAACAGACTGTAACCAAAGTAGACAACGATTTTGAGGGAAGCGGAGAGCATCAGTTTACAACATGACATGTATTGTAATAGTCACTGACGCGTTCTCTTTTCAAACCGAGAGCTGAGTCAATTTCAACAGCATCTCTATATATTCTCTACTGTAAACATCGGCGGTGCCCTGGTGGCACAGTGGTTAAGAGCTAGGGCTGCCAACCAAAAGACAGCCGTTGGAATCAGCCAGCCGCTCCTTGGAAACCCTATGGGGCAGTTCGACTCTGTCCTATAGGGTTGCTATGAGTTAGCGCCGATTCGACCGCAATGGGTTTGATTTTGGGTTTTTTATTAACATCTTTTAAGCTGAGGGATTCGTAAGTACTTAACTACTGTAAATTAAAATAACTATAAGCCTGAACAGATGACAGGCATCTGAAAAATGTGCGCTTCTAAGACAGTTAGGAGCCCTGCTGGTGCAATGGTTAAAGCACTCGGCTGCTAACTGAAAGGTTGGCGGTTCCAAAGCACCAGCAGCTCCGCGGGAGAAAGACGTGGCAGTGGGTAAGGAAGTGGTTAAGACGAAGTTACTGGAGAAATGTAAGCGTTTGCCCTAGTTATTAAAACACCTAAATCACCATCAAGCCAGGCCTTGGAAGGCACACAGTCACGGAAACGCTGCTCACAGGTACTCACCCCACCGAGCGAGCTACATCCGAGCGCTAGGAACTTTATCCACTTGATTTTCTTCTCGCAGGGATCCAGCTGCAGGAGCGCCCTAAACTTCTCTACAGGCAGGCACAGGTTTTTCCACTTCTGCTCCAGGTCTGCTAGCTCCACGTACTCCTTGTGGCTACACTGTGGACAGCACAGAAAGGCACCACGGGTCTAACGCTGGTGAATACATGTAAACAATCCCCAAACAGCCAGCCACGAGCCTCGAGGTGGGGCGGGGGGAGACGAACTCAGGCCTCACGACGGGTCAGTCGGCCCTGGGGGGCCGGTCAGCGCTGGGGGGCCGGTCAGCGCTGGGGGGGTCAGTCAGTGCCAGGGTGCCGGTCAGCGCTGGAGGGCCGGTCAGCGCTGGGGGGCCGGTCAGCGCTGGGGGGGGTCAGTCAGTGCCAGGGTGCCGGTCAGCGCTGGAGGGCCGGTCAGCGCTGGGGGGCCGGTCAGCGCTTGGGGGGTCAGTCAGTGCCAGGGTGCCGGTCAGCGCTGGAGGGCCGGTCAGCGCTGGGGGGCCGGTCAGCGCTTGGGGGGTCAGTCAGTGCTTGGGGGGTCAGTCAGTGCCAGGGTGCCGGTCAGCGCTGGGGGCGCCGATCAGCGCTGGCGAGGGGTCGGTCAGCGCTGGGGGGTCAGCCAGCACTGGCGGGTCGGTCAGCGCTGGGGGTGTCAGTCATTGCTGGGGGGTCAGTCAGCACTGGTGGGCGGCACGTGTGTGGGGCACCAGGCGGGGAGGGCGGCTGGTTACACATATGCTGTCATGTTTTCTTTTTTTTATATATAAACTATTCTGTGGTTGTTGAGAATATTCACAGCAAAACGTACACCAATTCAACCGTTTCTACACGTAGTATTCAGTGACATCGATGACATCCCTCGAGTTGTGGAGCCACTCTGGCCCTCCTTCTCTGAGTTCTTCCTCCCCTATTCACATAAACCCATTGCCCTCTGAGCCTCCTACCTAATCTTTGGAGTTGCTGTCTGTTACTTTGATCCCATATAGAGATTTCTCAAGAGTATAATGCTCAAGGTAGATATTTTTTACTAGTTAAGCTAAATTATTGTTTGGCTTTAAGACTTCAGAGGATATTTTTGGTTTAAGGTTTAAAGATTACCTCAGGGCAATAGTTTCAGGGGTTCATCCAGTCTCCACGGCTCCAGAAACTCTGCATTCCATAAGAATTTGAAATTCTGTTTAGCAGTTTCTTTTTTTTTTTTTTTAATTGTGCTTTAGGTGAAGGCTTACAGAGCGAATTAGTTTCTCATTAAACAATTAATACACATATTGTTTTGTGATGTTGGTTACCAACCCCACAATGTGTCAACACTCTCCCCTTCTTGACCTTGGGTTCCCCATTACCAGCTTTCCTGTCCCCTCCTGCCTTCTAGTCCTTGTCCTGGGTTGGTGTGCCCATTTAGTCTCGTTTTCTTTTATGGGCCTGTCTAATCTTTGGCTGAAAGTGAACCTCAAGAGTGACTTCATTACTGAGCTAAAAGGATGTCCAGCAGCCATACTCTCGGGGTTTCTCCAGTCTCTGTCAGGCCAGTAAGTCTGGTCTTTTTTTGTGAGTTAGAATTTTGTTCCACATTTTTCTCCAGGATGCTCTGTTGTGATCCCTGTCAGAGCAGTTGGTGGTGGTATTCAGGCACCATCTAGTTTTGTACTGGGCTCAGTCTGGAGGAGGCTGTGGTAGTTGTGGTCCATTAGTCCTTTGGACTAATCTTTCCCTTGTGTTTTGTTTTCTTCATTCTCCCTTGCTCCAGAAGGGGTGAGACCAGTAGGGTATCTTTTAAGGCCCCAACGCTACTCACCAAGGTAGAGTGTAGAACATTTTCTTTATAAACTTGTTATGCCAATTGAACTAGCTGTCCCTCGAGGCACTTTCCCATTTTTGATCAGGATTCTTCTATAGAACCTTTGATAAAAACGTTCAGTAACAGTAGCCGGGCACCATCCAGTTCTGGTCTCATAGCAAAGGAGGCAGTTGTTCATGGAGGCAGTTAGCCACACATTCCACTTCCTCCTCCTATTCCTGACTCTCCTTCTTCCTCTGTTGCTCCAGGTGAATAAAGATCAATCGTCGTGACTTGGATGGCCATTTGCAAGCTTTTAAGACCCCAGACACTTTGCACCGAACTAGGAGGTAGAACAGAAGCACTAAACATGTTATCAGGCCAATTAACTAAACCTCCAAACCACGGAACCAAATCCCATAAGGTGTTCAGCTGTATATAACATTATCATAATGTTTTATTTCTTAAAAGAACCATGAAGCAAAGATGGCGTAGCACTCTGACTGGTAACGTGGGTACACAGATACCGGGTATATGCTCTCTGTGGTCTGACTGAAATATTCACAATAAAAAATAAATAAATACACTAAAACCCAACCCCCTAAACATGGTAACAGTTAGATGAAAGAAATCTTAAAAATGGCATTTCTCAAGCTGAAAGAATGGAAGGAAAAATTCAAGCCTCAGGTTGCAATATTGAAGGATTCTGTGGGGAAAATATTAAACGATGCAGGAAGCATCAAAAGAAGATAGAAGGAATACACAGAGTCACTATACCAAAAAGAATTGGTCGACATTCAACCATTTCAGGAGGTAACATATGATCAGGAACTGATGGTGCTGAAGGAAGAAGTCCAGGCTGCACTGAGGGCGTTGGTGAAAAACAAGGCTCCAGGAATTGCCGGAAAACCAACTGAGATGTTTCAACAAACAGAGGCAGCACTGGAGGTGCTCACTCGTCTATACCAAGAAATTTGGAAGACAGCTACCTGGCCAACCAACTGGAAGAAATCCATATTTATGCCTATTCCAAAAAGGTGATCCAACAGAACGCCGAAACTATCAAACAATATCATTAATATCACGCACAAGTAAAACTTTGCTGAACATCATTCAAAAGTGGCTACAGCAGTACAATGACAGGGAACTGCCAGAAATTAGAACTAGATTCAGAAGAGGACGTGGAACGAGGGATATCATAGTTGATGTCAGATGGATCCTGGCTGAAAGCAGAGAAGACCAGAAAGATGTTTACCTGTGTTTTATGGACTATGCAAATGCATTCGACCATGTGGATCATAACAAATTACGGATAACATTGCGAAGAATGGGAATTCCAGAACACTTCATTGTGCTCATGAGGAACCTGCACATAGACCAAGAAGCAGTTGTTGAAACAGAACAAGGAGATACCGCTTGGTTTAAAGTCAGGAAAAGTGTGTATCACCTTTCACCATACTTTTTCAGTCTGCATGCTGAGCAAATAATTCAAGAAGCTGGACTATATGAAGAAGAACGGGGCATCAGGATTGGAGGGAGACTCATTAACAACCTGTGATATGCAGATGACACAACCTTGCTTGCTGAATTGAAAGTGAAGAGGACTTGAAGCACTTACTGATGAAGATCAAAGACCACAGCCTTCAGTATGGATTACACCACAACATAAAGAAAACAAACATCCTCACAACTGGACCAATAAGCAACATCATGATAAACGGAGAAAAGACTGAAGTTGTCAGGGATTTCATTTTATTTGGATCCACAATCAACACCCATGGAAGCAGCAGTCAAGAAATCAAAAGACGCATTGCATTGGGCAAATCTGATACAAAAGACCTCTTTAAAGTGTCGAAAAGCAAAGATGTCACCTTGAAAACTAAGGTGCACCTAACCCAAGCCATGGTGTTTTCAATCGCCTCATATGCATGTGAAAGCTGGATGATGAATAAGGAAGACCGAAGAAGAATGGAAGCCTTTGAATTGTTGTGTTGGTGAAGAATATTGAATATACCATGGACTGCCAAAAGAATGAACAAATCTGTCTTGGAAGAAGTACAACCAGAATGCTCCTTAGAAGCAAGGATGGCAAGACTACATCTCACATACTTTGGACATGTTATCGGGAGGGAACAGTCCCTGGAGAAGGACATCATGCTTGGTAAAGTAGAAGGGGAGCAAAAAAGAGGACCCTCAACGAGATGGACTGACACAGTGGCTGCAACAATGGGCTCAAGCATAGCAAGGATTGTGAGGATGGTGCGGGACCAGGCAGTGTTTCATTCTGTTGTACACAGGGTCGCTATGAGTCGGAACCGACTTGACGGCACCTAACAACAACAACATTATTTTAAACAATCTATGACAATCGATGAAGTCCTGGGGTCGTGCAAACAGTTAACATTCAGCTGCTATCCAAAAAATTAGAGGTTCAAGCCTACCCAGAGGCGCCTCTTAAGAGGCCTTAGGATCGAGAGCCATGGAAATATCTTGTCCAGGAGGCCACGGACCCTGTACAGCTGCTCAGAACGTACAGTGCAGCCAAAGTGTCCTCACAGTCAGGGCTACACCTGACTGGCACTTTAGTGACGTGCCCGGAAGTCAGTTCTGCAGTCCACTTCCCAAAGTCGAGGCAGCATCTCCAGGCGCACGAGGGACGTGTCAAGCTCCCGGTGCCCTGTGGGGTCGGCACTGGACGTGCCTGCCAGCCACACACGTGGGCAGTCCCATCTGCCAGGCCAAGCAGAGGACAGCCCATTCATCCAGCACATGCCCAGGTCGGGGGACACATACCTCAAGGAGGCACCCACAATTCATTTCTGGAACGCCGTGTTTTCAGAACACATTTTTCAAGAAGCCAGAAACACCTGGCGTCGTCTCAACGTGGCATTTAGAAGAATTACACTTCCTTTTCTATAACCCTGGAGCCCTGGTGGTGCAGTGGTTAACAGCTTGGCTGCTAACCAAAAGATCAGCAGTTTGAATCCACCAGCCGGTCTTTGGAAACCCTATGGGGCAGTTCTACTCTGTCCTATAGGGTTGCTATGAATCGGAATCGACTGGATGGCAACGGATTTAGTTTTGGGTTTTTGCTACAACCTAATTACAGACTGCTGTCCCGGGTTCTTTCAGCAGACAGAGGCAGTGGGAACTGAGTGCTCCTTCTAGGAGCAGGCCTAGTGGATGTCTTGGGTGCAGGGGTGTGTATGGGGGTCTTGGCGGCGGCGCATTGATAGGTGGGAGAGGTGCGTCAGCGGGGAACGAGCAGACTGTGGCGCAGCCGCGTACCTGCTTGTGCAGGACCTTGAGGAGCCCCTGCGTCAGGCCCGTGTCGGTCTTCTGGGTCGCCACGGGCATCTCGAGCCTGTCCTTCATAGGGAGAGGCTCCCCTCGAGACAGAGCTGAAAAATACCTAAGAACAGCAGACAGCGCTCAGGCCCCTAGATGAGGAGTGAGCACCTCTCCTCACCGACCCCAAGTGCTGTCGGGCCCGCGTCACCCGCTCAGCGCTGGGCTCAGCCCTGAATCCCCGCTCCCGCGTGCAGGGGGCTCGGCCCTGAAACCCCAACTCCCGGACTTCTGACCTCCAGAGCTGTAAGTGAATATAGGTGCGTTGTTTGAAGCCACCACGTCTGTGGTGATTTGTTACAGCGGCTCTAGCAAACTAGTGAACTTCCCTTTGAACAGTTTAAAGAAGATTAGCAAACACTGACATGCTAGTTACGAAAAATCTGAGATCTGTGCTTATGCTAATTCTTTTCATGGTTAAATCGAGCTTCTGCTCAAGTCTGTTTACTGAAAAGCGGGAAAGAGCTTTCCCGGAAAATCAGAAGGTTTATAGCAAAGGTTCTAGGTAGGGTCTGTTGGCCGGTAACCTGGGATTGTAAACGTTTGAGGAAGCTGCTGTAGAGATCCACGTGCTGTGAACCAGGCTGGCCTCAGGGCTAATCAACCACCATAGCTCCTAGAAGGACACTTAGGTCCAGACGTCACCCACAGTAAAGAGCTTTGCCAGGCACTGCTCTGGGCTTCCTGCCGTGGGGCAGTGGGGCCGTCCCCGGGAAGGGGGCCCATCCTCGGGAAGGGGGCCGATCCCCCGGGACGGGGACGCCCTGGGCCGGTCTGGGTGGTTGGCCGCGCCCGCGCTCACCCCGCGGACCACTGCAGCACGTCGGCGGGCTGCGTGCGGATGGCGGCCTTCGTGAACTGCTTCAGGATGTCGGGCAGCTCCGGGGGGATGTGGATCTGCTGAGCGCAGAACATGGTGTCGGGAAGCGGCATCGCGTCCGCAGACGGGACCAGGCTGGGAGAACCGAGGTGGCTGCGGGCGGCGGGCGGGCGGTCAGCCCCCAGCGGGGAGCGTGGGCCAGGGGCCCGCCCACCCCCACCACCGCTCGGCTGGGGTCGGCCTGGGGTCCCAGGAAAAGGTTCAGGAGCCCGGCATCCCCCCTCCCCGGGTTAGGGTCGGGGTCCGGTACGCGGGTCGGCGACGTGGCGACCCTCCCCGGGTTTGGGGTCGGGGTCCGGGGATCGGAGACGGCTTTCTCCCTCTCTGTGTTTGGGGTCAAGGTCTGGGGACGGGGCTCGGGGTCAGCGTACCCCCTCCCCTAGTTTAGGGTTAGGGTCCCGGGACGGGATCGGGGACGACGGGAGATCTCACCGGCTCTTCCACCGGCTCCTCGGGTAATGTGGACCAACCGCCCCTCGACCGTCACCCTAAAGCCGCCTCAAAACCGCGCAAGCCGCGGCTATTGTTTAGCATCGGTATCCAGGCAACCGGGACGCGCGCGAGCCCCGCCCCCGGCACCGTGCAGGCGCAAACGCCTAGGAGGCGACATAGCGCAGGCGCGCGAGCCCGACAGAGGCGGGGCCGCGCATGTGTACTCGCTCTGCGCGGGCCGGCAGGCGGGCAGTCAGGCGCGCGCCTGCGCATTGAGGCCCAGGACGTGGCGCCTCACGCGGTAGGAGCTGCTGAGTGGACGCCCAGTGAGTCGGCTGAGCGCCTCGGGCCTCGTGGGCCCGGCTCCGGCCGCCCCTCGGAACGCACGCTCCAGGCCGCTCAGCTGGGTCCTCACCCCACTCCGAGTATGGGGCTGCGGGGAGCGCCCCAGGCGGTGACGCCTGCGACCTCCCGTGGTCCAGCCCGCCAAACGCGCGCCTATCACCCGTGTACACACGCATACGGACCCCCAATGCGCACACCACACACACACACCCCTTCAAGCGAGCACGACGCACACACGTGTCTCCAGATCAGCAGCACCGACAGGAAGTGGAGCAGTGAGCATCAGTGTCGATGAGGCAGGGACAGCGCGGACCCGCCTCGCCAACAGGAGGGCCTTTGGGGCGATTTGATGATGCAGCAGTCTTCCTCCTGGGAGTTTATCCTGCACAAACCCTGGCCTGGGTGTTCAAAGCTGTGTGGGCAAGAACGCTCACTACAGCGTAGGATAACCTGGGGTACTGACTGCCTTTCGGAACACGTGAATAGTGGTCCATCCGGCCCCACAACGGAACACAACACGGCCAGAACCAAGCCCCAGAACCAAGAGGAGGCAGCTGCTTACGCGCTGACCTGGCATATGCCACGAAAACCAAAGTGGAGAGATTACCCCGGGAAGCCTCCTGTGCAGCTACCGCCGCACTGTGGTACAATGACCTCCTTATGGGTATCACGATAACAGTGGTGCGTCTGGAGAATGGAGCAGGCCTCCAGGTTTCATTTTAAACGTTTGTACATTATTTTGATTCTGAATGCATTTACTTCTCAGCAATACTAGATAGATAGATAGCATCAAATGGACTCCATGTGCAACAGAAGGAAACGTTGCCCCGTCCAGAGTCATCCTCACCAGTCGCCGGCGTGTCTGAGTGCATCTCTCTGGCTCTTGTGCCCATTCATCTCACCGAGGGTCTCCCTCGCCCTCACTGGCCCTCTGCTTCACCAAACACCATGTCCTCCTCCAATGATTGATCCCTCCCGATGACGTGTCCAAAGCAAGCAAGTCGGACAGTGTTCTGTTGTGATTCATAAGGTTTTCATTGGCTGATTTTTGGAGGTAGATTGTCAGGCCTTTGTTCCTAGTCTGGAAGCTCTGCTGAAACCTGTCCACCATGGGTTCCAGCATCACAGCAACACTCAAGCCCCCACAGTACGACACGCTGACAGACCGGCTGGCAGCAATACACACCGAGTGCCAGATATGTTCCGGGTGCAGAGAACACAGGAGTAACCCAAACAATGCAGTAAAAAAGAAAGAAAATCAGCCTCTGGAGCTTACATTCAAGCGTGGAAAACATGCAAACAAACAAGATTGGTAAAGTGCAGTGCTAATAAGTGTGGAAAAAGGAAAAACTCAGCAGGGAGGGGAGACAGGAGGGCCCCAGCAGCCCCAGTTCTAGACAGCTCTCCTGAGAATGAGGCTTAAGTAACGAAGTGGAGGCTGGAGCAGCCTTGGGGAAGGCCCAGCAAACCCTAAGTGCCAAGGTCCGGAGGCCTGACCTGAACCCCAGGGGGCGCCGTGGTCGGGGGGTGGGGGTGGGTGGGGCAGCGTCCTGGCCGCGCCGTGAAGGCCATGCGAACACGGGCTCTGACCCCAAGTCTGACAGCCTGAGTGTGACGGCCAGCCGTCGGAGGGCTGAGTAGAGGGCTCGTGTGACCTGAGATTTTAACAGGATCCCTCTGGCCTCAGTGTGGAAAACGGAAGGAGGAGAGAGATCAAGGGCATCGCAGGAGAAGTGGCAGTGACCCAGGTGGCCGGCGACGGTGCTCCCCCCAGGACGGTAGCAGGGAGTTGGCGTCACGCAGCTGGATTCCAGTTTATTCTGAAGAGGAGAGACCTGCTGTCGACGACACGGGGTGCAGGAAAAGGAAGTGCCAGGGTGTTCCCAACATTTTGGGTGTAGCAACTCCAGTCCATCCACCTGCTTACCACGTGAGATTGGAAGTTGGGGAGCACCAGGTTTGGGGGTGTCAGGGCTGCATTTGGACCTGCCACATTTGGGAAGTCTGGGCAGCACCCACGGGCAGCTGCACACAGGCGTCTGGAGTTGGGGGAGTGTGGGCTTCAGGTGTGGGGGTGGCGTCCCGGCCGAGCCGGGCGTTGTACAGGCTGCAGGATAAGCAGGAAGGTCCAGACGGGCAGAAGGACGATGGGGCAGGGTGTACGGCAGCTGGAGGAGCAGCCCAGGAGCAGAGCAGCTGTGTCAGACAGGCCCCCCGCCCCCGCGGCTGGCAGGTCCACTGTGGTCTTCTCAGGACT